TTGCAAACCCACAGGAGACCTATGCAGCAGCAGAAGAAACAGGAATTGCTCTTTACCCTTCCCATCCTTCCCTGATGCTGCAGGCTGTAGACTGGAGCAGGCCCTGTGCAGGAGCTGGTGGCCAGCAGATATGTGGAGCTGTGCCAGCCCCTGGCTCTGGTCCTGTGGTTACCTGTAAGTACACACGAGGGTGCCACAGCCTTCCTGAGCTCTTCCTCCCTGTGCCACAGCTGAGCTCAGCCCTCAGCCACCACCTGCACACATAGAGGATGTGTAGTTTCCTTCTAAATCCTAAGGAGGACTTTAGTGGGAAGGACAGGGAGATGAGAGAGTTCCCAGCACAAAATTGGGCTGATCTCAATAGCACTGAGGGTGATGGACTCCTCACTCCTGATCTTGGCTCTGACTCACTTTTCTTTTGCTTTGGGATAATCCTTAACTCCATGATTTTGGGAGTAGTAAAAATTTAGCCTCTCCATAGAGATGTGTTGCAAATTACATGGTTGTTAATTATTTTAATCTTCTATAACTTGAAGTGTTAAACAGAAGTATTAATTCTCAGTTTCCTCTCTGGCAGTGCATTGCAAACCTCAGCTCGACTCAGGGACTGCTATTTGTAGCCCTTGAATGACATTACTGTTAAACCTGCACCAGAAACTGGAAAATTCAGCCATGCTGAGCAAACTGAGGGGGAAGAGATGGCAAGGGATCATCTTTGGAGTTCCAAATATGCTGCATGGCTCATTTTTTTTCACTGGTGTTGATTTGGCCACTATTCAGGGCAAGTTGAGATTTTCTCCAGCTCCTCAGTGAAGCCCTGTGGGTACTGCAGAGCTCTGCACACAACAGCTAGACTCTGCTACAAGGATAAATGCTTATTTTCCTGGTGTAGACCAGATGCAAGGCCAGTGAGGAACTGCTTAGCATGTTTTGTGCTTAAGAGAAAATTATAGCCTGTGGCCATAGTTCTTGGTGTGTTTTAGAGCAACTGATTTGTCATGGTTTAAAAAACAGCTTCTGCTCATGGCTTTTAAAATGCATAACTTAAACTTTTTCTTCCTGGTTGGTTTTCTCTTTTCCTTACTCCTTTTTGCACACATTGGTGTTAGTGGATACTTGAGTTTTCAGGCATTTTGCTCTCTTGGAAGGTTAATGGTAGCGATATAAACAAGAGTGAATGTGCCTGAGTGGGGAGGGGAGGGAATGGAGTTCTGTTAATTCCAACCTTGACAAAAATATCTGTAATAACTTATTATATTATATCACTATTATAGTATATCACATATCAACTTATTAGCATCATATCACTGTGCTTCATTTGAACTCTGCACTCCACTGGTTTCAGCTTGACTTTTAAAGGAGAATAGGTGCAAGGAAGAGTTTCATTATCCCTCTAGATAAAGACAGCTGCAAAGTGCTCAGAGAGGAACACACAACAAACCCTTGCAGAATGTGGGGTGGGTTTTTCTCTTTCGCAATCCAGGATCTTACCAATTAAATATGGTTTTAAAAAGCAGCCACAAAACAAACCCAACGTAAGACAAACCCCAGCAACAAACCCCAAACAACTGAAAAAAACCCAGTGAATCAGGCCTGGAAATCAAATTCATGTTGTGCAGTGTAATGTTCTGCTATTTACTCCATTCTCTTTTGCAGACACTAACAGAGGATTATTTAAAAACAAAGTGCAGTGTTTCTCTCATTCTTTTTTTCTCCCTTCTCTGGTTTTGCTATTAAGCCTCACTGCTTCCTTTGCTCTTCAAGCAGCAGCTCCATGTGTTAAGCTTCCCTAGTTAAAACAGACAAGGATGGATCAATCCTAAAGGTTCTCTGTTTGGTCCTCATGGGCACCTTGGAGGTAGAGACACTTTGAAGACATAGTGTCACACCAAAATAAATGCTCGTTTTGGAGAGAACCATCCAATAGTGAATTTTTGGCCAAGGAATACTGATAATTTTCAAAGTATGGACTAATAAAGGTGTCAGTCAGTTGTACAGGGAGATCTGCTCAGCACAGGCTGGTTCAAAGCAAGGTGAGAGGGAGGAACAATTCATTAATCCAAAGGAAATCTTGATGCTTACATTCTGCTAATTTTCTTGAGGCCAGAACATGCTGAGCTCTTGGGTGGTTTGGGGAGTACCTCAGCCTTCAAAATCAGGCTGCACTTCAGAACAGGAGCAAGAAAGGATAGAACCTGTGTGTGCTGTGGAGTCTGTTACCAGATTACTCTACACATGGGTGTGAGACACACTGTTTGGGCCATCCCTGAGGGCTGCCTGTAGTGTTTGCTCATGTAATCTCATGTCCAATCTCAGCTATACCAGTTATTTGGTGCTTTGGAGAAAATACTCCTTGAGGGCTGAGGAAAATACTCCTCAGGGGTTAAGGAAAATCCTCCTTGAGGGTTGAGTCAGGCCAGCAGAAGGAAAAGCTGCCCTGATACTTGTTCTTCCCAAGGACATGCAGATGATATTGTTTTGTCCCAAGTCCCTTAATGGAGAGCCTGAGGAGAGATTTTGCAATCATAAAAACACAATTAGCCCCCAGGGCTTTGGGGAAATGAAAATTCTTTTACCTTATCTTCATATTGAGGGGATAGGGGAGGTGGTTGTGTTTGAAAATTAGACATATGGCTCTGTCATTCTAACAAGTCTTTTGAGATAAGATTGTACAGGAGTTCCATCTCCTCTTCCCTATGGACAATATTCGTGCCAGAGCCCTGGGTGATGGGAAGAAGTGCACTTTTCCCTCCAGCTGCCTGGGAAGTTTGTTGTCAGTGTAGAGAGCTTCTTCTGTCCTGGGAGATGTAGGGAGAGATCCCTCCTTGTAAGTAATCCCTAAATCAAACACATTTTGTCTTAGTCCCCTCATCTCAGCTGCTGTCCTCAACCCAAATCTGTCAGTGCTATTGTGATGTCCATGTGCTCTCAGGGACATGTGACTCTCCATGGGATTGGGGGCAGGAAGAACAGTTGCTGTAGTTGTGTCTCCTCTGGGTTACTTAGAATAATCACTCTTGAGTCTTCTCTTTCCTCCTTCCTTAGGGGGAACTTAGATGCAATATATCCTGCCAAGTGGGCAAAGATGTTTGAAAGGGGAACAGAGGAGCAATCCTGGTTGGTTCCTTGTTCCAGCCTACTGTTTTTGTTAAATATAGCGAATGTTTTCACACTTTTGCTATTTAAATTTTTTTTTTCCAAACTGCTTAGTTTTGGGGCAACAGAAGTCCAGTGTTGTCCCCACTGAAATCAATACCAAGAGTCTCACCTTCCACTGCAGCTCAGGTCTAGCCACTGGCACTCTCCCTGGGAGTATTCCACCTGGGAAGACCAAGGTTGGCTTTCCTGTCCTCAGAAGGAGAGGGAATGGCTTGAACTGGTTGTGTTTTGCCTTCCTTGGTGCTGTAGCAGTGTTTGCAGGAGGTGTGCATGGCCCTAAGCTTTGCCAGAGGAGCTTTTGGGAAACTCTTTTAGGGCAGCCAAGACAGGACAGCCCCTTTGGAAGAATTGTGTGTTTTGGTTTGGTTTGGTTTTTTTCTAGTTTGGCTGCCAACACAAAGAACCAAGGGAAATAATTTTGAGGAACATTTCTATTTGCTTTATTTTTGTCTGTCTTTGACAAATTAAAAAATAGAAATATCTCATTTCACCAAAGCCCTGAAGTGTTTCATTTTGGGTCCATTAAGAAAAACAAGGGAAATGAAGGGTTAGACTTCAAAGGAAGTGCCTGGGGGCAGTTCCCATTCATTCAGGATGAAGGAGACCCTTCTCCAGCTCTTTCCTCTGCTGGGGAGGATTTGCACACACTTGTCTTGCTTCCCAGGAAGCTTTGCTAGGAAGAGGCTATTCTGGGGTGAGGATAGGATTAAGTGAAAAATGAGCTGGAGGAGACACAACCTAGATGTAAAAATAAAAGTAAGCAATGCTGAAAAAGTATTTTTTGCTTTCAAGCTGCATTTGGAAAATGAAAGTGGAAACCTTGTTTGTCTCTGATGAACTTTATATAGATAAGTAGAAGGCTTTAGAGACAAGGTATCTGTGGCAATTTTTAATGATTTGTCAAAATGAAAATTTGTGTATCTGTGTTTTAAAAGTCCAATTTTGTTAGTACATATTTTAAGATATAACATCTTCACATGCACACAAAAATTGGTGAGAGCTGTGCAAACATACTTGTTTGTTAGGACACCCCCCAGTAGTGCATAAGAAGCACCACTAAATCAGTGTATTCTTACTTGCTGTAGCTTTTTTCTTGGCCTCCAAAGCAACCTCTTCTCAGAAAATTAGTAAATCCAGAGCAGAGCTATTTTATGCAACAAACACCATTGCCCAGAGCAGCTGTAGCTGCCCCATCCCTGGGAGTGCTCCAGGCCAGGATGGATGGGGCTTGGGACAACCTGGGCTGGTGGGAGGTGTCACTGCCCACGGCAGGTTGGAATGAGATGAGCTTTAAGGCTCTTTCCAACCCAAACCCTTCTGGGATTCTGGAGCCCCTCTGCCCTGGAGCCAGGCTGGGAGAGCTGGGGGTGTTCAGCCTGGAGCAGAGAAGCTCCAGGGAGACCTCAGAGCCCCTTCCAGTGCCTAAAGGAGCTCCAAGAGAGCTGCAGAGGGACTTGGGACAAGGGGTGGAGGGACAGGACACAGGGAATGGTTTGCCACTGCCCTCTGGGCAGGGACAAATGGGATATTGGGAAGGAATTGCTCCCTGTGAGGTGCTGAGGCTCTGGCACAGGTTGCCCAGAGCAGCTGTGTCTGGTCGAATTGGGCTTGGAGCCACCTGGGCTGGTGGGAGGTGTCCCTGCCCATGGCAGGGGGTTGGGGTGAGATGAGCTTCAAGGTTCTTTCCAACTCCAACCATTCCAGGATTTTGTGATTTACAGCTTTTGGAGGTCCCTTTTTTGCCTGAGGATGAGAACCTGATGCTTCCAGCAGGTTTTGGTGACTGACACCTTGGGATGAGTACTAACACCAGGCTGACTGTGTGCTGTTCCTGCAGATCCCTGGATGGTCGGCTCCAGGTGTCCCACCGCAAGGGCCTTCCGCACGTCATCTACTGCCGCCTGTGGCGCTGGCCCGACCTGCACAGCCACCATGAGCTGCGCGCCATGGAGATGTGCGAGTACGCCTTCAACATGAAGAAGGATGAAGTCTGTGTCAATCCCTACCATTACCAAAGAGTGGAGACTCCAGGTACTGCTGCATCCATGGGCAAAATCCTCAGCTTCTCCTAGGGATTTCTAAGTGCATCTCTAAACCCAAAGTGTATCTATTATTGATGATCATCTCTTACTGTATGCAGCAGAATAATTTATGAGTGTGCACTCTAGGGGAAAACAGCACTTGGAATGGATCAAATCCAGGTTCCTAATTCCCTGCTCCCTGCTGCCAGGTTCCTAATGTGGCACTGTGTGCACATAAACAACTCACACACGTAGTAGGCACGAGGAGGAACTATGGCAGTGCTCTGTGCATCCCTAATTGTTGGTATTAAATGAAGGACAAACTTGCTGTTAAGTTGAAGTGGATCTATGAATAGCTCCCGACACAACTGAACTTCCTGTTCTGAAGTCTCCTCCTTCCTCAGAGAGAGGCTTTGATCTGGAACAGTAGATCCTTCTGCTACATGTCAGCACAAATCTGCAGAACCAGTCTGGATGTTTATGCTAATCCCACCTTGCTGTTCCTTTTTATGAGAAATGCATTCCTTTTGAATCATGTGCTGTAACTTCTCCTAAATGGCTTTTCAAGAAGACCTTTCTTTGCCTGAGAAGGGGCAGACACACAGGTGTGCTCAGCTAAGTACATATCCCATCCCCAGCTGAGATGTGTTGAGAATAAATCTTCACCTGATGTTACTTCTGAGCAAGTATCACATTGTGGCCCTTAATTAGCCACTCTGGTGTTACCTGGATTTAAGGGTGTTACTCCAAACTGGTTTCTCCTCATTTTCCAGCATTTCAGCCATTTTATCTTAAAGCTGTTCTACTTTTCCCCTTCCCATTCCTGCAGTGTTGCCTCCAGTGTTGGTGCCTCGGCACACAGAGATCCCAGCTGAGTTTCCTCCCTTGGACGACTACAGCCACTCCATCCCAGAGAACACTAACTTCCCAGCAGGTATCGAGCCCCAGAGCAACTACATTCCAGGTATCATATATCTTCCATACAGCAAGCAGAGGGAAAAGGGTCATATTGCCCAGGGAATCTGTATGCCAAGACTGGGAAGTCTTTCTTTCCATCATTCCTCTGAAGCTAAGGAGTGAAAACCTGGACTAAAATAGGTGCAAGCTGTAGGCACACAACTGTGCTGTTTATAGTTGTGTTGTCTTTAAACACCTCTTCTGTGGTGTTTATTGTGAAATCTACAGCTGAATGTTCCCTTAGCAGGTTTAGATCTGACTGAAATTCAGCCATTTGAATTGGAGTAAAACTAAATTTCTGATGGAATTGAGCTCTTCTATTTATGTATCTCTTTTACAAGCAATTTACACCTTATTTGCATGGACAAGCTATGCAGCTGCACACCAGGAGAGGGAAAATATGTGGACAGAAAACTCTCTCCATGGCTTAAAGTTTGATGGGACTGAAAATCCAGATTTTTTTGTTTCCCCCTTCCTCTGTCATTCACAAATATGCTATGACTGTCATGCTGGCTCCTCCTTTCAGCAGCTTGAGAAAGAAAAGTAATAGAAAAGAAATTTAGCTCCTTGTGAATAACAAAGTAAATGTTCTTAGTGTCCAAATCCAGACTTTGCAGCCAGTGGCACTGACAATCTGATCATTTTATGCTTCCAGAGACACCTCCTCCAGGCTATTTGAGTGAGGATGGAGAAACTAGTGACCACCAGATGAACCCCAGCATGGATGCAGGTAAGTCATCTTCTGCCATTTGTTGCAGCTTTCTAGGTCATCTCAGAGACTCAAAAGTTTTTCTTTGGGGCATTGAGGATCAGGTGGTGGTTTGAGGTGGTTTATCCCTGCAGCAGTGCAAATGTAGCCCGAGAGCTCAGGGCTGTGTGTCTTAGAGCTGCTGTTCCTTGTTCTTAGAGCATGCTTAGAGCAGCATGTTCCTTTTCTCTCCAACATCCATCACCAGATTCTACTAGAAGAGCCTGAAGCAGCAGAGACAGATGTAAGGATCACAGTTTCTGCTGTGTTTGTGTTCATGCACATGAAAATTGAGTACTGTTCTACACAGATTTTTTTCTGGTCACTTGGTTATTTACATACTTAAATGTCACAAGCAGATTTGGTTTCAAAGGGGTTTATCATTTAGTGGCTGTACACAAAGAAAGCCAAAAGTCTGGGTTCTCTCTCATTGCCAAGAAAACAAGTAACCAGGTTTAGAAAGGACCAAATTTAGGATAAAATTCTGACACTTGTTTGGTCAGATCTGTCTAACTTGATCCAGTACACCATTGTCCCAAACCCAGTTAGATTTGGCTATAAAGTGGTATGTTTTCAACTGTTCTGAGTATGTTTTGTGCCTGGCAGGATACAAACAGGCTCTTTAATGTCCAACTAACTGGGTTTCATTGTAGCTGTCATGATAATACCTGAAATTTTGCTGCTGCAACTGGAAGTAAAGCAGCCAAATGGGAAATTACTGGGTTTAAGCTTAAGTGAAGACGTAGCAAGTTGATATAAGTAAATACATTTGGAAGCTCATGTAAGGACTAATAAACATCAGAGAAGCTGCTGCTGTCACCAAATGAGACTTCAGTGAGAAGTGGGTTATCCCTCCAACAAGCCTGGGCAGCACTGCAGATTCTGTCTGAGTGTTTTTCCTGGTGCAGATGCCATAGCAATAATTATCCTGTCTTGCTTTTCAGGTTCTCCAAACTTATCACCAAACCCTATGTCTCCAGCACACAATAATCTGGGTAAGCATGTGAGCCTGAGAACTCTGTGTAACTACAGTCAAGACAGTGACATTTTAATGATGTTATTTCTTGAGGGTGAGCACTTTTGATGAGGTTGTGAGCACTCTTGATGTTCCTTTCTCCTAATCCTCTTTACTGCCTTAACAATGGTTTATAGAAACGCTATAGGAAATAAAGAAACCTGAACTTAGATCAAAGAGTTAAATAAAACCCCGAGAAATGTTGGCAGATAAGCACCAGAAAGAATGAGTGAGGGATTGCAGCAAAGCCACACTTGTTTGATTACAGGAGTTTGCAAGGAGTATGTCCTTTTCTGTCTGTTTTGCTTGTGGGTTTGTGTTCTTATATTTTTAAAGGACACAGATTGAGATTAAATTTTGTCTCCTGGAAAGCTAGTTGGTGAATTTATAGTGCTTAGTGGTCTCTTTTACAGTATACCAATGGTTTTACACTGCCAGAGGGCAGGTGTAGGTTAGATGTTAGGAAGGAAGTCTTCTCAGTGAGGGTGCTGAGGCACTGGCACAGGTTGCCCAGAGCAGCTGTGGCTGCTCCATCCCTGGGAGTGTTCCAGGCCAGGCTTGGAGCACCCTGGGCTGGTGGGAGGTGTCCCTGCCCATGGCAGAGGGTGGGAGTGGGATGGTCTGTAAGGTCCTTCTAATCCAAACCATTCCATGATTTTATGATTCTATATAATTAAACATAGTCTGAACAGGGCAAAGTGGAGGGAGAGTAGTTGGTTGGTGTGTGGTTGGAGAGTCCAAACAAATGGAGATAGTGCAGGAAAACTATCATATGGGGAGTGCAGGTGTCATAGACAACAATCCTTGAGCACCAGAGGTGTTTGTGGGGTCTTATGCTCAGACAAGCCAGAAGGAATGTTGTATGTGAGCTGCACAAACCATGGACCATGCACAGTGGGATTGTTCTGACCCAGCAGCCAGATGGTTTTCTTCAAGCAAACTCAAGTTACTGTGCAATCTTGGGTCACCTTTCCCTCACCTAACTCCATCCTGTGCACTAGGAACACACAGAGCCCTGAGTGCTCTGCTAGACCACTGATGTCACTGATCCACTCCCTAACCTGTGGACAGAAACTAGGGAGGAAAGCTGAGGAGAAGGAGTAGCAGTTGATCCTTTGCCTTTGAGCTACTATGAGAGTTTTGGTGGTTCTCTGAACCTCTGTTGTCTGCTCAGATGGTTCTGCCCTTTCTGTTCATACCTACAGATAAAAGCTCAGATCCTCATCAGTCTGGGCTCTTACCCTGCTTGAAATTGCTCTCCATGGGCTGCCATAAAAGCCCTCAGAGCTCTGCCTGGCTGCAGGATCAGCTCTCTAACTGTTCCCTAAGCCAACAGACAGAGGCCACTGGAGACTACTCTTGAATAACCATAGCCATAAAGTTTACATATGCTTTTAATCCTGGCACAGAGGCCTTTGACACTGCTCCAGAATTTGTCAGTCATTGGCTGCCTCGTGGATATCTTGGGGCTGTTGAAAAGAATTTCTTTTCTTCTTCTTCTTTTTTTTTTAATATTGCCACGGTGACAGAGAATTTTTATGTCTTTAACTGTTAAAGCCCAAGAAGAGAATTCCTGAGTTACTTTTATTTCCTTTTTCTGTTGGAATCCATCATGCTCCAGTGCTGCTTGGGAGCCAATGAGATTTTCTAGCATTTTTTTTACTCCAACCTAAAAATAAAAAGCCAATTACATGTACCAAACCCAACCTGGCGAGTTGAGTGTGGCATCTCTTTACATAAGGCAGAAAGGAGTTTCTAGGAAAGAGGCCCCAGTCCATACCCTTCCCAACAGGGACACTGGTTATTAACACATGCTGCTCAGCTCATGGGCCTGTCAGATGTCTCAGGTGCTGTCTGGTGACAAAAAGGTGTAAGAGCAGGTGAAGCTGGTTAGCCACAAGGAATCTCTTTGTAGTCTAAGGAGCAGACAGCAGAAGAGCAGTTGAACTTACCAGCATTAAAAGATACCTTTCAGTTTTTGCAAACCGTATTTATCATTCTTAGGCAAGAGCTTCCCCAAATGAAGAACTTGTTGTCTCTTCTAAAACTTTTATTATCAAGTTTTGCCTGTGAAGAAGGTACAAAATAATATATGAAGTGACATGTGGTGAGCAATGTTTAAACTGTCCAATGGCAAAATTGTCATCTGTCCCTTGTAAATGGAGTATCTACAGCAAGGAGCTGAGTCCAGCAGTGTAAGTCAAAACAGACCTTCAGCCTGATAGTCTCTGGAGCCCAGAAAGAGCTGTGAGAGCAGAGAACTCCTCAGCTGTGCAGGTTCTCTCCAGTTCAGAGCTGCTTGCTGGCCTGCAGCACTCCTGCCTTTGCTGTGCTCTGTAATTCCACGGATGAGCTGAATGCTCCACTGTCTAGGGCTGTGCTTTGATCTGCAGAACTCTAATCAGGCTTTCTTTCTCTGTTTGTTAAGAAAATTGAATAGAAGTTTCAAGCTGGAGCAGTGTGTGCAGTGGGGGATTTATCAGCCAGAGGGCCAGGAGCATTCACAGTGTTACCATGAAGAAAAGAATGTCACAGCATTGATTAGTTTATTTGACCAGAACTACCTGAAGCATTTAAGGCAGTTTACTTTGTGTAAACTGAACTTTGGACCTAAATCCCATGGCTGTATTCCAGGGAATTACAGAGGCAATAAACTAGCAGGAGGCGAAGCAAGCAGGACAGCAGAAGGAGGGCTGGTTTGAGGTGCAGGGGATGTATTGGAGCATAAAGCTGTCAGGTTGTAACATGGGATTGAAGGAGCTCAGGGAGTTTCATCTTTCCATTCACAGGCACAAAAGTGTTGCAAGGTAACATATTGGGATGGGTTTTTCCCTCCTTTCAGCTTGTGTGTTAGATTTGGAAGTGTTCTAGCTTCGGTCCAAAATGACAGTTGTCAAATTTTCAGTTGTCAAACATAAGTTTTAAATGGAAGTTACAGAGATCCAATGATCTCTTCCCTGTGAGTGAAACACCAACTGGGGAAAACACAGAAACCAACTGAAAGGAGAGTTGCCAGCGTGATGTGGACGTTGGGAATGAAGTCAGGGAGTTCAGGCTGGCTGAGGGCCAGCCCTGTGGTTGCATGGATATTGTTATTCCGAGGGAGGCTGTCCCTGGGTGCACAGGAAATCCATTGTCAGCGTTTGCTCTGCAGAAGACTTGACGCAAAAGCTGTAAGAGAAATAAGCACATGCCCCACGGTCACATTCATCAGTCACACTCTATGCTGAAACGCTTTCCCAGGGGAAAGCCAGGCCAGCCCTTCTCTGAGTCCAGAGGGGCAGGGAGCACACACACCATTTCTGAGGAGGAAATGAGGATAAATCCAGGTGGAAAACATATCTCAGTAACTTCTGATCTGCACTGTGTGTCAAACACACTAACTGAAACAAGGATAACTACTCGTGTGCCCAGAGCACATGATGCAGAGAGCAAAGCAGCCACCAGCAGATTGTTTCCCTCCACAGTGCACAGGCAGTTCTTTCATCTTGCATTTGGGGAACATCCCAGGGCTCAGGGGACACTTCTGACAACAAAGCTGTGCTGAGTCGAGATGATTCAGGCAGGATTTGCCTGGTTTTCCTGTATCCTGTTGTAGTTGATTGTGTACCCCCTCAGGGTTCTTTGGCTTTAGCAGAGCTGCATTCTCTTCCTTTTCCCCAAACAGCACATCTATAAATTGAAAATGAATATTTAGGACAGCTCTGACACAAAAGGAAATTTGCCCATCCCATGGCAGCTTAAGATGAAGCATAAGACTGCAAATCACAGGAGAAAGCAGCAGCATTGCAAGCTTGGTTGCAGTTTTTATAGGCAACTTTTCTTCAAAATGGGATTTGTTGGTTTCTGTCTTTTCTCAAGCTGAAAATAAGCCAGAAATAAAATTTCTGTACATCCTTCAGTGGGAAATCCACAGTTCCCTTGAGGCCCAGCCAAGAGGAGGTGGTTTCTGAAGGAAAGGACCACGAAACCAGAGAGAGCAATAGAGGGTTCAGTGTTTCTACAATTTGAATAGTACCAGAAAGCCTGAGAACTTTACTGAAGGATCAACAAAAGTTGATTTGATTTTTCTGGAGCTGAGCAGCCTTTCAATTAGAAAGGCACTTGCTGTGGGGTAAGAGCACAGTCATGTGGAACACAATCTGTTTTCTTAAGTGGGTGGACCCACCTTCAGAGACTCAGGTTTGTGCTGATTTTGCTGTGCCTCTCTCCAAACTGCACTGAGGTCATGTGAAGCCCAGAGCCAGCTCCCAGGTGTGCAGATACTGCTGCAGGGCACAGCTGCTGGTGGATGAGATGAGGAGAAATGCTCCTGGTGTGGCAGTTTCCATGGGAAAACCAAATATGCCATACAGGAGAAGAAGGCAGAGACAGTAGACTGGTGTGACCCCCTGGATGTGTTCAGTGTCTGTGTATATCAGGGGAGGAGATTGTTTGAAGCTGGAAAATTGTTTAAAATGTGAGGAGGTGGCAGGTAAAAGAATTGGGATTGGATATAAGCTCTGAAATTCATGGACTTTGAAGTTTGCTAAGGATCGCAGAGGTCCCCAGATGTACTTTCATTCAGTTCCTTATTTGCTGTCAGCAAAGCTTGGAACAAAGCAGAAACCAGAGTGTTTTTCCTGATTATTAGCTGCTTTGGGAATTCATCCAGCACAGGAATGGAGAGGAAACCAACAGGTCTTGTGGCTGAAGCCTGTTCCTAAAGGGTATGGAGTAACAGCAGGTACCAGATGAGAAGCGACTCTCACACCTCTGCAGAGACACTCTTTGGTGTGAGAGGAGGATGAGGTGGTAAAAACCTGTCTTGGATTTTTTTCGGAGCTGATCTCTTAAGCCCCACGTTCACCTAAGCTTTACAGGAGCAACAGATGGGAAAAGTATGGAAAAAAACTGTGGTCTGCTGCTTGATGTTAACTCTTTGGCCAGATGGGAAACTGTGCTGTTCTGCCTTCAAGGACCATTTGAGTGGGAATGAAGTGATAAACTGCAGGGAGGACTGGAGGGAATTCTTCTCTTGCATTGGATGTAGGGAATAGCACTTACCAGTTAGCTTGGTCTGCTCTGCACATCCCCTGCTCAGCAGTCTCGGCTCACAGCAGGACCAGCACCTTCCACTGCTGCGTTTCCAAGAAATTTGACTTGAGCCTTCTCTGCTGGAATCTCCTTGTCTTCAGTGGGAGCAGTTAAGTCACTGGATTGAGTGTCCCACCTTTTGGGGGTGTAAAGTGTTGTCTGCCAGAGACTGCCTCAGCCTCAGTGTGCTCATCTCCCCCAGTGCCTCGCTGCACCCACAGGCTGAGTCAGAGCAGAGCCCGAGAGAAAGGGATGTGCCATCATCCACTGGGGAAATGGATTTCCTTTTGATGGTTTGAGATCTCTAGAGCACTGGGAGAAAGTACGTAATTTTTCAATCACTTTGATGCCAGTGTTGCATAGTTTGGGGCATGTTTCAGGCTCTTCTGGTGTCATCAGTGCCAGAGAGATTGTAGCAGAGTCAGTAAGAAAAGGAACGTTGGACTTGTTGGCTGTGAGTGCACAGAGTTAGGGCTCAGCACACCTGTGTTGTTGAGAGCAGGTTTGTGCTCTGCTCTTTCCAAGGCTTTCTGATCCTTCCTTTTCTCTCTTCAGGGTATTGGCTGCCTAAAAGTGATCCCACATTTCATAGTAAAGTTTATTGGTCTAATCCTCTCCAAGCCTGAAGCCAGTCAAGTGACACCTCTCCCGCTAAGTGACTCATATCTCTGACTCTGTGTTTGTTCCACCTGCCAAGAGCTTCAGGGGTGATGTCACTTTCTAGCTGTGGCCCATCAAAACCCATCAAGTAATTAAAGTTTGGTTCAAGTGAGTCTGGGGAATGAAACAGAACGATATTTCAAACCAGTTGCTTTTTTTCATCCCTTTCCCCCCCAAGGGCCTGTGCTCACTTGGCTTTTCCTCCTGTGCAGACCTGCAGCCTGTCACCTACTGTGAGCCAGCCTTCTGGTGCTCCATATCCTACTATGAGCTCAACCAGAGAGTGGGAGAGACCTTCCATGCCTCCCAGCCCTCCATGACCGTGGATGGCTTCACTGACCCGTCGAACTCCGAGCGCTTCTGCCTGGGTTTGCTGTCCAATGTCAACAGGAACGCGGCAGTGGAGCTCACCCGGAGACACATTGGTAATTGCTCCTGCCTTGTTTAGTCTCTTTCAAGGTGGAAACACATCAGCCCTTTAATTAGCTAATCAGCACACGGTTTGGCCACTGCAGTGCTTGAATATCCATGGTGTTTTAGGAGGTTGATCTTCCATAAGGCAACACTAGTTGTACTCTTTGGTCAAATACGATTAGAAATGCACTGAGGAACGTTAAAATTGCTGCATGTAATGGAGAGAGAATTTAAGCTTTCCATGCACTGTATTTGGATGGATGTTAGTGATAATCCTGTGTATTCCTTCTCCCTCCTGCACTGTTTTCTTCTCTGACTGACCATTTATGAATGGAAACTTAGTTCCTTGATTTTCATCTCCATTCTGATACATAACATTGAATTTATTTTCAGTTAAACCTGCACTAAATAGAATATCCCAAATCTGTGCAATTTTACTGAAAGGCAAATCTTATGCTCTGTTGTTTTCTGCTGACTTCTATCCAAAATGAACCAGATTTTTGTCCTAAGTTTGTTCCCCTTTATACCGTCCCTGAGCAACAGGAGAATCCTCCCTTTCATATGGGAGGATCTTTCCTTACTTGTGTCAAATATTACCTCTAGCACCAAAAAAACCCCAAACACCCACAAAGATCCAGAAATCAGTCTTTAAATCCAGCAGACTCCTTATGCTCTGTGGAAGGATGAAAGCAAGATACTCAAACAGGAATGTTAGGCCACAGCAAAGGTTTATTTGAGCAAGAAAGATTCCTAAAATGTGTTTCTTCATTAACTGAGATTTTATTGGTTTGTGTAAACAGCTATGGGAAATGTATCTTTGTCCTTGTACACAATGTCATCTGCAAAAGGCAATGATTGGAGGATGCTGCAGAATTTAATTCCAAATCACTAAGTAAATAACCAAACAGTTGTGTCCAGCTGTGAGGACTTTCAGAAAAGGCTGAAAACCATATGTTAACTGCTAGAACCTTCATATGGAAAGTGTCAGAGCCATGAATGTTTGGAGGGAGCAGTCTGGGAGCTGCTGAGTGTCTGCAGCCCAGGCTGGGATTGACAGCAGGGCCAGGGGGGCAATTCTGCCTGTGCAAGCTGGTGCTCCTCCCTCAGCTCACCTCCCAGAGAATTTATTCCTCCTTGATGGCAGCGCACAGTGAGCCAAATTTTCACAGAATCCCAGAATCAATCAGGTTGGAAAAGACCTCGAGACCATCATGTCCAAGCTATGCCCTAACACCACCATGTCAACTAGACCATGGCACTGAGTCCACATTCAGTCTGTCCTTGAACACCCCCAGGGATGGTGAGTCCAGCACCTCCCTGGGCAGCACATTCCAGTGTCTAATGACCCTTTCTGGGAAGAAATTCTTTCTAATATTGAATCTAAACTTTCCCTGGTGCAGCTTAAGCTTCTTCCAGGACAGCTGTTCCCCTCATGCACATTAGCCATGGATTAGTTGGATAACTATTGGTACCTATTAAAACAACCCAAGAAGAGTCATTCCCAGCAGAGGTTGTGTACATCTCCCCCAGCTCCTGGTGCAGATTTTGGTGCAGGTTTTGCAGGTGGCTGTTGTGAGTGACCCCCCTGTGTGCCCTGTGTTTCCTAGGCCGAGGAGTGAGGCTGTACTACATCGGGGGGGAGGTGTTTGCTGAGTGCCTCAGTGACAGTGCCATCTTTGTGCAGTCCCCCAACTGCAACCAGCGCTACGGCTGGCACCCGGCCACCGTCTGCAAGATCCCGCCAGGTAAGGGAACCTGTCTCACCTGTGCTCCCACACAGCTTCCCCTTCTGCCCATCCGGACCTGCCGTGGCAAGCCTTGCTCTGTGTCAAGGTAGGTATGGATGTGCTGAGCTCTGCCTTTGCCAACAATCAGAGACTCTTCAGAGAATCATGGAATGATTTGGGTGGGAAGAACCTGAAAGTTCATCTCATTCCACCCCTGCCATGGGCAGTGACACCTTAGAATCACAGAATCATCAAGGTTGCAGGAGTCCTCTAAGATCATCGAGTCCAACCATTAACCTGTCACTGCTGGAACCCCTAAACCAGATCCTCCAGTGCCACATCCAGACACCTCTTAACCACCTCCAGGGATGGTGACTCCACCATCTCCCTGGGCAATATCCCAAGTGCCCGAACACCCTGACAGTGACAAAATTTCCACTTGACCAGGTTGCTTTAAGACCTATCCAACCTGGCCTAGAACACTTCCAGGGATGGAAGTCTACAGCCTTTTTGGGCAACCTATTTTTTCCTATGTTACCTATTTTTACCTATTTTGCTCTTTTACAAGCAACTTGACAATTCAAGCAGAGCATTTTTTGTAGTCTAAAGGATGAAGGTGCTGCTGAAGGAAGCTGCTGTGGATGCTTCAATAGTTGTACTATATTCCTACAAGTTGGAAGAAACACAACTTCAGATTCTGAGCAGAACTTAGAGCAGAATCTGCCACTTGTTCCTTCAGTGTTTTATCAGTTCCTTGTTATTGTAATTGTCTGATAGTCATGTTGATAATTTGTTTGTACCTCTAAGTAAGAGGTAAGAAATTTCTCTTTAGACTCACCCATAACAGATTTAAATCGTTACTTTTTTTCTGTTCTGTACTGAAGTTCACCCTTCCCCTTGGTGAGTTAGTTTTGGTTTTGGGAAATCACATTTGCAGAGCCCTTGTTGTTCTGGTTACAGTCTAAGGTTTGCTGGAAGCTTACAGGAGAATCTGTTGCATCCATCTAGGCAGAGGATGCTTTTTGTTAGATACATGCAAAAGGGCTGGTATGAGAAAATGCAGTTTGAAATGGAATCTAGTTATTTGGCCAGGCTAACAAAAGCTAATTCTTCACAGTTTAAAGGATGTATATATTTAAAACATGACTTTGTTTAGAAATATTTGAATCAAGATTGTCTGTCTTTTGAGGAGAGATCCATACACTGCAAGCTCTGTCTCATCTTCATGGCTTTCCTTTCTCAGATGCTTAGGGAGCAGCTGCCAGTGTTGCAAACATGACTTAATCCTCCAGCCACATCACAAGAGTCCACCCTGGCTGGAGTCAACATCTGAGGACATAAACAACCCACATTTCCGCTCTGCATTCAGCTAAGGCACATTTTTTGGACACCAGCTCTCCCCACTTCTGCCACAGCCTTTGGCTGCTTTCTCAGCCTCATCCTCAAATCCTTGCTGGCTTTGAAGCAGTTTCTTCATTCCCTTGTTGACAAGATCAAGTTGTGCTCGCTCCTCCCCAGCAGAGCCATGGAGTGAGCTGTGCCATCCCCTCCTGGAGCTGAGCAGCCTCTCATTCTGAGCATTACCAACTTCTTTGCTCTTCTCAGTGCCAGCCTGGCCCTGAGGCTTTCACCCTGCACATTGTCCTTTGCTCCCCCCCTGCAAGCCTCCTGCCCCCGGGGCTGTGCTCTGCCATGGTCCCAGCAGTGGGCAGTGGTTTCTGCAGCTGCTGAGCCGTTGCTTGTGGTCACACTCTGCTCTCTGTTCAGCCCAAAACAGATGACAGTGTGAGTCCAGTCCCAGAGAGGAAGCTCACCAGTGATTTTACAAAAATACAATTCATCACAGCCCAAATGGTTGTTTTTCAGCCTTGGCCCATGTGTAATCTCAAAGGAGCGTTACTAGTGTGCCAAGTTTCAGGGTTTAACTTGTTTGTGGTTCTCTGGGAGGAAACAAATGCAGAACACTTCTTTTTGAGTGTGGTATTGCTTTATTTATCTTAACTAGGAAGGATGTTGTTATATTTCACCTTTATCTTCTAAGAAGAGTTGAATAAGTTCTCAATCTTTTAGCTGGAACTAAATATTGGGGAAAACCCTCCAGTTTTAAAAGCCTTTGGCACATGCTAGAGAAACCAAAGAGAGGATTCTAACAGGAGCAGTTCTGCTACCAGCCCTTTTCACCCTCAGAGCTGCTTCCTGGCTGGTCAGAGTGATTTCACTTCAGAACTTCTCCTTTCTGCTTACAGACACTGTAAATCCAGCACCAGGGAGTGCCTATTTTTAGCCTGTGCATTCCTCTCCCTCAGGCCCCACAGCAATCGCTGTTAAGTGTTACGGTCATAGTTAGGCTTTAAATTACACTGTGAGAGAAATATTGTACAGGAGAGAGGAGGAGGTTCCACATGAGGATCCCAAATCTGGCCCTGCCAGTCACAATCTGCTGTGTGGGCACCAGCACTCAGCATTCTCTGTCCTTTTCCTTCTTCCTTTTCAGCATCTGAGCTATGAAAATGTGACAGCCTCAATTCCCTCCCCTGAAATGCTGAGTTTAAACAATATCTGTCTGGCATCACATGGGCTGAGGGTAAGGGAAGGCAGCCTGGAGTTCCCTGCCATCCCCAGAATGACATGGATTTCTTCATCTCCTTAACCTAATGCCTTGGTCCTTATCATGTTCTTTTTTTTTTTCACAGGATGTAACTTGAAGATTTTTAACAACCAGGAGTTTGCTGCTCTCCTGGCTCAGTCTGTCAACCAGGGCTTCGAGGCTGTGTACCAGCTGACCAGGATGTGCACCATCCGCATGAGCTTCGTCAAGGGATGGGGAGCGGAATACAGGTCAGGCCTTGGCACAGAACCTGCAACTGAGCTGTGTTGTCACTGCCACTCGTGCTGTTCCCAGCCTAGGAGAGCCTTGCAAAGCTTTGACTCCCCTTTCCAGAGAGGGGATTAGCCCAGTGTTCAGTAACATGGATATGTTGTACTAGTTGGGAGTGTGTTATCTCTAGTTTTTCCCTTCCTATATGTGTAAAACACATGTGATACACCTGGAAGAACATATGTCTGGTCACAGTGTGGGATGAACCAAGAGCTTTACTTGAAGCACAGCAGATAAATCCAGATTGTCCATGGAGGGGCTATTACAGGGGGTTTTTTACTAAAATTAGATGGTGTGTGTTAACATTAGATAGTGTGTGATGACATTGTCATCAGGACAGGATCAGATAGTCCCAGAATCCTGGAATGGGTTAGGTTGGAAGGGAACTTAAAGCTCATCCCCTGCCCTGGGCAGGGACACCTCCCACCAGCCCAGGTTGCTCCAAGCCCCATCCAGCCTGGCCTGGAACACTCCCAGGGATGGAGCAGCCACAGCTGCTCTGGGCAACCTGTGCCAGAGCCTCAGCACCTCACAGGGAGGAATTTCTTCATTATATCTAATCTGTATTTACCCTCCTTCAGTTTAAGGCCACTCCCCCTTGTTCTGCCACTCCATGCTCTTGTGGAAATAGAACCATAGAATCAACCAGGTTGGAAAAGACCTCCAAGCTCATCAAGTCCAACCCTACCGTGGTCACTAGCCCATGGCACTAAGTGCCACATCCAGTCTCAGCTTGAAAACCTCCAGGGATGGTGAATCCACCACCTCCCTGGGCAGCACATTCCAATGCCTGAGCACTCTCTCCCTAAAAAATCTCTTCCTAATATCCAACCTAACCCTCCCCTGGCAGAGCTTGAGTCTGTGCCCTCTTGTCCTGCTGCTGGTTGCCTGGGAGCAGAGACCAACCCCCACCTGACTCCAACCTCCTTCCTATGTGACTGAGTGCTTCTTATGGGTTGGGTTTGATGCTTCTTTTATCAAGGTCTAATAGGATTAAAATAAAAGCAGATTGGCTTGAAAAATTATATTTGAAAGAACTGTGAGAGCTGCTGGAAAATTATAGCTAAATCTCTTTATTGTTTCCTTAGGGCTTGTCCTAGGTCAAGTGCTTAAATACGGGAGGAACGAGATCACTGTTAAAAAAGGAGATAAAAAAGGAGGTGCAATAGGGACTGATGTTTGGGATGGATGATGTGGTTACTCTGACCACAGTGGAGACAGTGTGAGGGATGGAGTGTTCTGTAGCTTGTGATTTGTCTCTGCACTGGTGAGCACACATCCAAGTGAGTGAAGTCAGTGTTTGATAGGACAAGCAGGAGAGACAGAATTAGCTGGAAGATGAATGTTTTATGAGAGAGAAAGCTGCTGAGTATTTAAGCCAGATGTGGGTTGGAAATACTTGACTGTGTCCCTTTAACTCTGTGGCCTCGTGTGAAAGTCTGGGGGGGGTCCCTGTGTCCCCCAGGCCCTGAGCCACTGCTCCCTTGCCCAGTGCCCTGCAGGGGAGAATCCACAGCACAGCTGCAGCCTGAGCCCTGCACGTTACTCTCCCACTCTTCATTTCTCCAGATGTTTGGAGTCCATTTTGTTTTGAAATTGTCCTGCACCCAGGCCAGAGCGTTTCAGGCCTGGCTGGCAGCCAGGGCACGGAATGAGCTCCAGCTGAGCGTGGCTTACGGGAAGTCACCGATCTCATTGGAGAGCTGGAGGCAGCGAAACCCTACACTGCAACCTGACCCCGCAGAGCTGCAGCCCTGCTCCTGCAGCTCCTGGCCACAGCTCTCCTGAGAGCCTCTGTCAGGGGCATTTCAGTGCTGAACTGACCCACAGATTGGTAAGGGGTTGGAGTTTAGAAATCACCCAGCCCCAACCCCTGCCCTGGGCAGGGACACCTCCCACCAGAGCAGGTTGCTCAAGGCTCAGCCAACCTGGCTGTGAACACTGCCAGG